ATACAGAACTCGCTTTTTTACGGGTAACGCTCTGCTCCTACTACAAAGTTTTTCATTTGAAATAGTGCATTTCATCTTATGATTATTTTAACTGATTTAAATATTTATGAAGACTATTCTTTAAGCTAATCAAAGAATATCATGACCTTGAATCGATTGACAATAATTTATCGTAACAAGTACTGACAGATTTAATTTGTCATGAGAGAGAAACTCAACGAATTAGAGAAATTTCTGTTTATTATTTTGTGAAATGAAAAATATGGATGATGTTTAAAACAGTATGAATTCGACAAAACAAATAAATTTTGAAAGTAAAATCTATCAAAAATTGCACTGGTGTCATCTCAGTACATAATATTCATGAAGCAAAGCACGGTGGGTTGCAATAAATGATTCACCCACTGCTTAAATGGGTGCATTGACGATGCATTAATAACAGTTTCGATATTTTTTCTCTTGGAGTTTTTTGTTTTCTTTTTACTAAATTTATGTCATGTCTTCAAACAGTGGCAACTAAACAGTTTTATATTTGAATTTTGATTATAATTTAAATGAATGATTCTATTTTCTTATTCTCGTTCTTAACATTTTAAACTATTTTTCTGAATTTTTTTCATCAGAATTTATAAAAAACGAGGGAACTCGAGTATCTGTCAACGTAAACTTGTGTTTTTTTTTCTTCTTTCAAATTGCATTCCATTTTAAAGTAATTAAATACAAAAAAAAAAGAGAGAAATAATAGAAAAGGTTTTATTTTTTTTCTTTATTTTTTTAGCAATGAATATTATTTGTAAATTAAATTCATAAAGGGATTTCTCTCTTATTTGCACTTGATATAATTGTGTATTAAAATGTACAACCAAACTATATGACTATTATTATTTGAAATTACAGTTGTCAAAATTTTTTTCAATAATGAATTAGGAAGAAAGTTATCATGAAGTCTTTTTTGAATGTAATAGGTGATCGAAAAGTATTTGGACAAGATTTTCGTTCACTTTTGATCCACTAGAAAGTATGTCTGATAAGTTATAATCAAAATTTTGTATTCTTTTCGAATATAGACTTACGAATGAATAGCCCGAACTGATGTCTATCGTTTGAGCCCATATTCAGTTCACGAGGAGCTCTCAATAAGACTAGAAAAATCCTAAAACAGTTTGTGCCTATATGTCTCTGGAACTCAGCGATGGCCGTTTCACTGATTTTATGATTTGGTTTTAGGTAGTTACCGAAAAATGAAACAATGAAATTTCAATCTGAAAGTTTGGACATACGTATATGTTTTCTTTAGAGTTGGTCCAATAACTTAATACGTTCTTACTTTTACCATCTATTTTTTGATTGAATCTCCTATTCATATGTGTGAACTTGTTGTTTAAACAGTATCTGTTTAAAAATACGTTTACATGTCATTCTTTTGTGAAAATAATCTTGATTGACACGTATAATATTATTCTAAGTTTATCTATATCACTTCCATGTTTGTAAAGGAACATAAGTATAAAATTCATAGCTATTTATTATGTTTTTCAAAAAATAATCCATTATTACCAATTTTCTATTTACCAATTTGTGTCCGCTTTTTTTACCGTATATTATTAGCAATGAGTTGTTTAATTAACTAGAACAGAACAAGTGAAACAATATTATGATTAACAATGTAAATCAAAAAATCAACTTAATCATCATGATCATTTGATATCATCCCTTGTATAGGTGACAAAAGATATGATGTCAAGTAGTAGATTTTACTTTCAAACTTTATTCATAATATTATTTGCACAACAGATTTTTATTCAGATAATATTAGAGCAACATTAAAGTGACAACAAAGGAAAATAATGATAAATATTTTTCAGACAAACTATAGAATGTTTAACGATTGATCGTTTTACTTTAGCGCAATTACGTCGCATTTCATCTCTTGTATAGTTGTTTTGTCACCATTTCTAAAGCTTTATAACTAATTTTTAATTCAATTAAAAGAGGTAGATATGTTTTTATTTTATTGAGAAAATGTTCAACATAATAAATACTTACATGATCGATGTCAAGTGAAGTAAGATACGAGTATTCAACAACTGAGCACCGATTCTTGTCGTGAAGATGATGTTCGTGGAATCTTCAAAATGATGGTTGATTATTTCAAATAGATAAACGTTTAAGAAATGGAAAAGTTCGAGCAAGTCGAACTAAAAATTCATGTTTCAATGGATCTTTATCCTATAACTTCAAATGAGTAACAGAATAAAATACAATAGTTGTAATATTATTTCCGATCTGTGCGAGGCGATAAAATCCAAATCGAAGTGAAAAAGTGCAACAAATCATGTTCTTAGGGGCGAAATAATCTACCATACAAACCACCTATCGATGTTCTATATTTCTGAAAGTTCGTTGAATATCTGAATTAGATATGTGAATATCTGGATCAATAAGGTCATTGTCAGAAGCGATATAAAATGTTCAGAATTTCATTACAAGATGAGTACCAGCAATGAATGTCGGTCCAATCAAGATATGAATATATAAACTCAATTCTTCAAGATGCAACTAGAAGGTCATATCCTTGAATATCACGGTAACATCTTAAATGAGAAATATTTTAAATTAGGTAACTCATCCTTAAAAAAAAATGAGACAAATATTTATAAATTCATCTTTATCAATTGAGCTATGAAATAAATTCATAACAACCATTAATCGATCAATATGATTCATTTTCGAAATTTTATTTTTACATGTTTCTCGAATTCTATGAAATAAATGTGTTATCTAGTAATAATGAATATGTTGTATTTATTAAGTTCAGACGCATAGGAACTAGTCAACAATTCGACAAAAGCATCAAATATTATATAAGAGTGAATTTTCTTAACATGTTTCAAAGCATCCAAGAAGATTTATTATATAGATCCTACAAGAAAAATTATTTGCCTTGAATATTAATAGTTCTTTCAAATAAGTATGCTCATTTCAACAGTAAAATTAAATAAGGCTTAAAAGAAAACTCGATTGATTAAAATGTTTATTTTGAAGCCAACTATATGTTTAATTTCTATTTACATATATTGATAAGTCTGATATAATTAATAAAAAATATTTTCTATCGAATCCTATTACCTCATTATCATTACTGTTATGATTTGACTGCATGTCGGGTGAGACTCACATATTAGTTTAACATCTATGATTCTCTCTACATATAGCAATGTTACACGCTAATAATTGTTCGGACAATATATTGTTGATTAATAAGATAAATTAGAATTCGTTTCGATTTCGTTTATAATGCTGTCCGATGTGTTGTGTTTTGAATATTGAGACATGACTTTATTATATACCATACAACCAATAATATAAAGTTCGACAAGTGAAAATTGTGCGATATGAAAAGCAATTTATCGATGATGATAATTATTTCGCATGCGATCAAGGAGTTTAAAAAATTTAATAATTCAACTTTGGTTATAATGAATAATACTTATTACTTACTGTATGGTTTGTTTAAAAGATTATTTCATATCAAATGAAGTATTATAAGTATGATATTAGATTAAAATTAAAATAAAGTTTATAATTATGATCAAGGTGAAAATCTGCATCCAACTGTAAATTTGTTTAAAAAAGAAAGAAAATAGTTTCTTTTACATTTTTCGAATCATTAAGCAAGAAGTAGTAGATACGTGCTACATCATTTTTATTTGTTTGTCGTTTCATTTGATATTCTTCAATGAGAAAATACGACTCAACATGTTTATTTTTCTCGCTCGTCTTTGTTGAAATTACATTAACGATCTTGATTTACTCATCTATTTTTTTATTTTCATCTTATTCACCTAATTATGAGCTTCGAAACCAATAATTCTTCAATAGTACCAACAATCGATAATCCATACACATATGTAAAGCAGAAGTTGTTTTCATTATCAATATTGACATAGTCAGAATTTTTTTTATAAATATATTTAGTATTATAAATAAAACTCTAATGGAATTTTTAAAACATATCTTTACCAATATTAATATATGGTGAAAAAAAGTCCAATTCGTCCACAAAGAGCAAATATTCTGCGTTAGTCATAGAAATAAATTGAAGTCAATAACAATAATTCAATTCTTTTTTACTTTTGTAGATATCCAGAAGTTATTCTTTGAGATACTTTTCAAGAGGAAGTCAAAAATGTGCCAATTCGTAAAAATGATATAGTTGTACACCATTTAATCAAGGTACCAAAATTAGGTCCACAAATAACTAGTGAAACTGCAGTTATTGTTGCTGTTAATGAAGATATTTTTGAACCATTATGTCAATTTCTTCAAAAAAACAAGAAATATAGTGTTCGTTTGAAATTGATGGTTCAAGTGAATCTAAAACTATAGGTTAGTTTTTTTTCCCTGTCATTGTAGGAGTCAATTTTCAAGCGCTTTACTAAATCTAGTAGTGTGATTGGAAAGAGCACATAAGGTTGTACTTAAAGTGTGCCAACCCTAGTATGGAACATATCTCCTACAGAAGGTAGCTGAATACCCAAAACATTAGCTAGTTACAACAAACAGATGAAAATGACTATGCTATGTGAAATGACGCCTGAACAACATTGAAAAGAAATCAAATAGAAACTTCGTATACCATGGATCATAGTGGACATGTATATCGGTAGATAGGTAAAAAAAAAAGAAAAGAAGTTTGCATAACCAAACAAGATTAATGAGAAGAAGAAAGAAAGTATATATATTTGACATTTTGAACAGAGTTTTAATAAGGACCAATTGTATGAATTTGTTCGAGTCATTTAGGCATCACAGGTTGTTGTTGTCCAATAGGTACTGAAATAATAGGGGAAATAAAAAGAATATCACTAATAATTTTCTTAAGTTGAATTTCATTAATTTGTTGTTGAGGTATAATATTTTCTTTTTTGTGGATGATCTTCTTCCATTTTACCATTCAGAAGAACTGCAACTACACTTGTTTCCAGAGTTGTTTTTCGTTAGGGATGATCAATAAATATTTTTGAATCCATTTTACATCCTTGTTCAAATCTAAGAAATGGTTCATCTTCATTTGTTGTTGTTGGAAGTGACGACATTGGTTCATTAAGTAAAAGACATTCAAGTTCTTTTAACATTCCTTCATCAGCCACTAGTCATGGTACTGTTTCTGGTACTAATTGTAATAATACTGGTTTTAGTATTTGACAACGACTAATTGTTGTATTATCATTCATAAAATTACTATTTGAATCATCAGCATTTATTGTTGCAATTGTGTTATAACAAGTAACAAATGAATTTGATGTTTGTTTACTTATTTAACCCTCAAGAGCCCAATGTCTCTTCCAAGGGACATTCGAATAATTTCAATAAATTCCATTACAGGAGCTTATGTGCAAAAACCAACATTTTTCTAAATTGACATGACCTTAATAATCATACAGAGATGAAAATACAATTCTCAAGTGACTCCTAAGCCGAACAATGAATCTTTTACGACTCGTAATTTTTTTAACATCATTTTTCTTTTCTGAAGGTTTTTTTATTCATATAAGCGACGTGCGGTTTTGGTTTTTTTAAGTGATATTGTTAAACATAGTGTTCAGGTATCTGATGAAACCATCACGTAAATTTTAAACCATTCCACTAACGCAGAACACTTATAAAGAAAACGTTCCTTCTATGGGATATACCACCTCAAGAAAAAATCGAAACAAAGGGATTTTGACTTGAAATATTGCTCATAAATACGCCATTTAGATTACCATGAAATTTTCAGCAACAACTGTTGTTTACTCTTGGAAATACGGTATGTTGAAGAGAAGCCGGATTTTATGAAGTATTTCTTTTGCGTGTTGTCCACAATCAATAGAGAGATAGTATCTTGTGACAATATTATCAAATGGTGTTTTTTTGTTTTTGTTGTTCATTATCATAACCTTTGATATGTTTAGGTAAATACGCTAAATGATCAAGAGTTTTATGCATTTGTTCAGTTCGTTCAATAGTTGTATGCGTTTGCCTAAGTGTTAATTTAATTTTAGCAAAAGTTTCATCAGATAATGAATGATAAGCAAGACGTTTTTCAAGACAAATATTAGCTGCTTGTATCAGATCATTAAGATTAATTGTTGTTCATGTAGATGATGCTGATGTTTCACTATATTTTGGACATATACGACTTATTCGATTTGAAGTATGTTCTTGTTTATTAACAATATCATATATTTGTTAACATATTTTGATAATAAACGAATATCAACACCCATTGATGGTAATGATGTTGATAAACTATGTTTAATAAACCATTCTAATTTATTATAAATATATCTGAATTTATTTTTGTATATATAGTTCTCGAGCTAAATTTGAGAATATTTCAAATTGATTTTCATCAATTATTTGTGATTGATCAAATAATTTCATCAATAATTTGTATTTTTTCTCTAATTTTTTCTAAATAATTTATTAATATATATATATGTTCGTCTAATTCATATTTTGTTATTTTTTTTCATATTGAATGCGTTCACGTTTTTTCATTAGCTATTTTACTAAAAAAAACATCATACAATGTCGTTGTGTATCAGCTTTAAGCATACGAATTTCGTCTTTTAAGACGTTCTTTTGTTAAATCAACATTTTGAAAATTTTCATTTGTTAAAAAGCGTTCTTGAATATGTAATTATTCTAAACGATATATTACACACAATTGAGATAAGTAAAATAAACAAATAAAATAATGTGATGAATATGATAGTATTGGAATTAATTGTGACGATGAATATTGTTGATGAGTATTTGACAATGATTTAAAATATTATTTAATAATTCGATTAATTTCATGTTGTTTATTAATAACCATTGGTGAAAAACACTGTGTTCTATCATGTAAATATTGAGTTTATTGTGTATCAGATAAATAAATAAAAAGAAAAGAATGTGTTACAAGACGAATAAATTCAGTTGAATTTGATAATTCATCTATTGATATTTGTTGTTGTTGCTGTCCAAACGATATCGACAAAAAATTGATGAACATTCGATGCCAAGTAAAAGTAAATTTGAATAAAGAAAACGTATTGTTAATGAATTTTCATCAAGACCATATGTTTTCCATAGAGTACCATTATTTGATTGTGGAATATATGTGACCGGTGAACGAAATGATGATGCTTTCAGTGTACTAAATCGAGCAAGAGTACGTTGATGAGATGTTGAAGTTTGTTGAGGACGAGCACGATTACGATTTGGTGTTGGTAAAGATGGACTTGCATTTTTAGTTGACTTTCTATTCTATTATTTGATTAATGTTCCATACTAGGGTTTGCACGCTGTAAGTATAATCTCATGTGCTCATTTCAATCATACTATTGGATTTAAGTTAGAGCTTGAAATTTTACTCATAATTCTAATACATTTTAGTTCATTTCTAACAGGCCAACTGAGTTAACTGGTGTTATTGGGTCGAATCCACTTCTATTTTGATTCTAATGATCTTATTGAAAAAAAGATCTTCCAGTGATGGGACCGGTTCGGTTCCAAATACCCGGATCCGATTACATCTAAATATATATTCTAACATATTTGTTAACTTGTCCACTAAAAGTGAATGAAGAAAGTATAGCACATTTTTATTGTTTACTCATATGTTTCATCAATCTTCAGTCACTAGCAATAGTTTTGTTCATCGTTCAGTACATAATTTTACAGACAACATTTTAATAGGAAGCACTCATATATATGTAAGTAAATATTAATTGATTATCACTTTCTATTAGTTTTTAGTGCATTAATTAAATCTCGTTTTGTTTTGAACTTCAAAATAATCTTTAGCAGACGGCAATAAAGTTAGAAAAAATTATCCTATTAATGTCTTAAAATGGATAGCTTTACTGAGATTTTCAGACCTTTCAAGTTTAGTCAGTCATAGTGGTTATTACTTTTCAAACTGTAAAAGATGAAATGAAATTTACAATTTTGTCGAAATCGTTATATTTTGGAGAGAAACACTTAATTTCTTTTTCAATAGGTGTACATCCCCCCCATCATTAGTTTATTATTTTCAAGTGCACCATCACTCCGAAATCAAAAACTAGAAAAATACAGAGTAATGTCTAGAAATTATGACATATATAAATTATTTCTCAAAATCTATGCTATATGACATTTTCACAGAACGTCCTTCAAAGAATAATAACCTGCTAGTTGCAACAAGTTGTGCCCTTTACACTGAACGACGAACAAAAACGCAGTGAGTCGTTCTTGATTAAAAAAAAAGATTGACTAACCACTAAAAATATGCTAGTCTTTTCCAATGGGGAAATATTTCTAACATAAAAACGAAAATATCTATGTTTTTAACATTGTATGCACCTCGTTTTTCTAGGTCACTCTTAGAACTATCGAAAGCGTTATGAGCATGTCTTCAATAAATTATTGTAAGCGGATATTCTAAAAAAAGATTAGAAACTGATAAACTTTTTGTTCTTTATTTTTTAATCAGTTCGGTTCCAAAAAAAACACGAACCGATCCCATCACTGAAACCTTTAGCAAACTATCAATGAAGCTTCACTCTATACGTGCTGTTGTAATAGTAACTGTTTCCAAGGTTTCTTATTACAACTGAGCCTGCATTTGAAATATTTTCATACAAGAATCTCAAGGCTTGAGACATTTCCTGGAATTTCACTAGTTTTGAGTCCAACTTTACTCATAAAAAAGTTTCCATAAGTTAGATCGATTTAGGTCTATGGAAGCGAAGATCTCAGTGATGGTATCGGTTCCGGATATTTGGAACCGAACCGAACCAATCAAATTTTTCAAAATTTCGAACCAAACCGATCCCATCACTGGTATCAATAGAAGACAAATGCTCAGATTCATATCCACACCATCCACACATATACATAGTTTTAATTGTTTCTATAATTAATTCATCAGTCTTTCAATCATCAGACCGACAATATCCAGCATGATGGCCATTTCTCATTGTTGTAGCTGTATAAATTCTTGTCGATGTTGTGCAAATACGTGTTGCAGTTCTGCATTTTGTTGTTGTTGTTGTAGCTTTAGAAGTTCTTGTCGTTGCTGTGCAAATACTTGTTTAGTTCTGCAGTGTGTTGTTCTAGCTTTGCAAGTTCTTATCGTTGCTCTGCAAATACTTCTTGTAGTTCTACATTTTGTTGTTGATGTTATAATTTCGCAAGCTTTTATTTTTACTGTAAAAATAATTGTTGCACTTCTACATTTTGTTGTTCTCGTATCTTTGCAAACTCTTGTTGTTGCTGTGAAAATAGTTTTTGTACTTTTGCACTCTGTTGTTGATGTAAATTTGTAAGTTCTTGTTGTTTCTGTTCACTCTGTTACTTCAATCGCTGCTGACGATCTTGCCATGACATGTTCTAAAAGGAAACAAATAAAATATGAAAAAGTTGACATCAATAAGCTTAATTTTGAGACTTGGATGCATCTTCTACGGTAAAAGCTGAACATTAGTTGAATAAATTT